TTAAGTACATATATGGTGCCACCTTAGAGGAGCAGAGGGAAAAATAATTAGCTCTACTAATAGACTACTTAACCTTACTAAGTCATGCAGTAGAGATTTCACTATAATGAGTAGATAAAAGACTATCTAAAATATTCCCATATTGTGTTCTGATTTTTATGCTGTCCATAAATATCTTCTGGTGACTTAGCATGATGACTCGTCAGTGTCATGATTACGCTTGATGACTCAGCATGATGACTCGTCAGTGTCATGATTACGCTTGATGACTCAGCATGCTGACTTAGCATCGTCATGATGGCTCTTAGATATTTTCTTTAGTTTTGTCTCCTATTTAGGGGACAAAATTATTTAATATTTGACTGGAGCATTTTATTCAATCAGAGCTCCAAAAATTCATCCAAAAATATCATAAAATTCCTCATATTCTAGAGAAAATATGTAAATTTTCTCAGGTCATAACTCAACCTGTAGCCCCACTTAAAAATCATTCTTTAAAATGCCCTTTTTCGGCACAACTCGCTTTTAAGTATTCTTAAGGCCATTTTGCTGGTCTTCTAAGGATGAGACTAATTTTATAATTTTCTATAGTCTCTTAGATCATACATCCCCATTTTACCATAATTTTCTGAGGTTTTCTTATGACTCAAACAATTAAATTTACCTCTACATTCAAATTGAGCCATAAACTTATAAATTCCTTTTAAGTTACCTCAGGGGTATTTTCGTCATCTCTCTTCACAAAGAGCCTTAGAATATTATTTCCCATTTTCTGGGATTTTCTTAGAATTTTCTAAGTACTTTCCATTTTTACCCCTGATGGCCGTAACTCTTAGAATTTACCACTGGAGCCTCTAACTTTGATTACCCTTTAGCCCCTTAAAACCTTCACTTTGCAGTTTAATCCCTAAAACTGCTTTAACTTCTTTTCTCATCTTTAGGACCTCTACTAAAAAGGGGTCTGGTAGCCTATCTCATTCAGGCTATTTCTGATACTTCTAGGCCCAAAAATCGAGATGTTACATAAGGCACCTACACTGTTGATTGGGCAGGATGTATTTCAAAAGGTGAAAGATATAGATTGTGAATTTGGAAAACCTTTCGCGAAGCATGTTGGGACAAGTGGGTGGATGAAGAGGTCTATTTTCTTTATACTGCCGTATTGGATAACCCTGAATATGAGCCATTTTCTTGATGCTATGCATATTGATAAAAACGTATGTGAAAGTCTATTTGGCACATTACTCCATATTCCTAGGAAGATTAAAGATGGCATAAATGCCAGGCTAGACATGGCTGAAATGGGGATAAGGGAGGAATTGGCACCAGAGGATAAGGGAACTCGTACATTTCTTCGTCCGGCAGCTCACACGCTTTCTAGAAAAGAGAAAAGTAGTTTTTGTGAGTTTCTTGCTTCAGTAAAAGTGCCGGAAGGTTACTCTTCTAACATTAGTAACCTTGTTTCAATGAAGGATATGAAGTTAAAAGGTTTAAAATCTCATGACTGTCATGTCTTAATGGAAAACTTTATTCCAGTGGCAATACGAGCTATTTTACCTGATAAGGTGTGAGTTACGATCACAAAGTTATGTTTCTTCTTTAAGTCTCTTTGCAGCAAAGTGATTAATCCTAGCAAATTGCCAAGATTGCAAACCCGAATCATAGTTACGTTATACGAACTTGAAATGTATTTTCCTCTGGCCTTTTTTGACATCATGGTCCATTTAACCGTCCACTTAGTTAGAGAGGTCTAACTGTGTGGCCCAGTGTATTTAAGATAGATGTACCCAGTTGAGCGTTACATGAAAATATTGAAAGGGTATGTGAAAAATCGAAGTCGGCCAGAGGGTTTTATTGTAGAACGATATATTTGTGAAGAGGCCACTGAATTTTGTACCCATTACTTAAAAAATGCAAGTGATATTGGGGTTCCAATGTCTCGTCATGAGGGAAGGACAGATGGAGAAGGGATTATGGGAAAGAAAGTTGTAACTATTTCAAACCAATAGTAGGAGCAGGCACATCTATATGTATTGCAAAACTCCAAAGAGATTGAGGACTATGTGGATAAGCATATTGATGAGCTAAAGAGGGATAATCCCAATAAACTTGAAAGTTGGTACACCAAAACACATAATAAACAATTTACAACATGGTTGAGAGAGCAGGTGCATGGCAAGTATTATAATGATCCTAATTCTGTTTCGAAGAAATTAAAGTTGTTGGCAGATGGACCAAGCAAACATGTGATTTCTTTCACAAGCTATCTTATTAATGGGTTCACTTTCTATACTAAACAGCAAGATGATCAGAGTAAACAGCAAAATAGTGGCGTAACTCTTGTAGCTAGTACCATGCATATATCGAGTGCCAAAGATAAAAATCCTATCTATGCATGTATGTCATACTTTGGAGTGATTGAGGATATTTGGGAGTTGGATTACATTGAATTCAGAGTTCCGGTATTTGGTTGCAAGTGGGTGGATAATAATAATGCATTGAGGATTGATGACTTAGGGTTCATACAATTGAATTTGAATAAGGAAGGATACAAGGAAGAGCCATTCATTTTGGCTTCTCAGGCTATACAAGTGTTTTATGTCCCTAATCCGGCTACTAAAGGATGGTCTATTGTTTTGTTGACTAATAAAATGAATATTGAAGAGACGGGGTATGAAGACAATGCAGTTGAAGATGATCCATTTCAAGGGACATCACTTGATTCTCATTTAAATGAAGATCAATCTATGTACATCAGGCATGATTACAACGATGGAATATGGATTTCAAAGAGGGGGAAAGTGTTTCGTAAGAAGATCAAAACAATTTAAACCAAGAAGAATATGCAAAAACATAAGAGTAGAAAAAGAAAAAGATCTTCTTAAACATGCATGTAAATTCTCTTATTATTTTCTTTGATTCTTTTATTTGTTTTAATTTTGTTCAAGTCAATTTCATCATTAATGACTTTATTTTCATTTAATGGATTTTGATTCATTTTGTTTAATTGAATTTCATTGCAGATGGTAGACGATAGTAGATTTAGCACTGATAATCCATCTCAGCCGAGAGATGCCTCTCACTAGGAGAGACAGTTGTAAGACGAGGCAGCAAGCATACAGAGGGGCCTTTGTGTCATGCAAGAGGTCATGAAAGCTTGAATGGAAGGAAAGACATTTGTCGTATAGTGGAATAAGAAACGACAAGCTGTACAGTCAAATAAATTTATCAGCTATATTGGCATAGTGGCACGAAGCACCGTGCCTATTACAGCGCAGCACTGGGGAGGGTTGATCGTTCAGTATGAGATGCTATTTGGACAGATGTATCAGCAATATATTATAACAACTCAAATTTCATTTTCTTACAAGCTGCGTGATACTAATGTGTTGTTTTATATGTTTTGCAGTTCGCATTTGATATAGATGAGAGCAGGAAGAAGTTTATGGAGGGGAAGGCTGGGAGGGCACTGCGTTCTTTTTGATACTTTGTGACACACAAGTACTTGAAGTATCCTTCCACAGTCGATGAGTCCGAGGTTCCTAGCTTGATACGGGACTTGGTCAAACCAGAGGATTGGGCTGCTTTTGTGACGTCACGTCGTGATAGTCAATTTCAAGTAATAATCCTCGCTCTTTTCGATATTAAATAGTCCATTTTGTTTAATCTATACACTGTTTAATTGTGAATCTACTTTGTTTTTACAGGAATTAAGTACCCAAAATAAGGAAAGGGTAAATAAGAATGAATATCCCTACCAAAAGGGGTGCTTGGGTTATACAGGCCTCGAGCAAGAGGTGACTCAGAAGGAGGGATCAGATGTCACTATATCCCGTCAGATATTGTGGGCATTGACCAGGCAAAATAAAGATGGCCAAATTGATAATCCTCACGTTAAGGAGGTCGTGGACAGGATGGTGAGTATTATTCTAAATAAAATAATCCTCACGTTATTGTCAAATATCTTTAAGTATGAATAACTATGTCAATGTTTGTTGCACAGGAGAGTTTGTCCCAGGAAGTTTCGCAGGGGGCATATTCTGCAGATGACCAAGATATATTGATAAGGGCATTAGGGACTCCTAACCATCCTGGTCTTCTTAAGGGCGTCGGTTATGGAGTCACGAAGAGGGATTACTTCAGGTACCGACAAAAGCCTTCTTCATCATGCACGCCTTCCTCTGCTAAGTTCATGGAGCTGAAGGAAGAAACACGTTGGTTAAAGGAGCAAGTTAAAGCGCAAGCGCTCTTAATCAAGAATTTGATCAAGAATCAAGCACCACAGTCGGCTTTGAATCTCAGCCCAAGTGGCAAAGACAGTTGCACATTCCCCTTGCTACCTGAGGTATAATACTTGTGTTTATACAATTACATTCAATAATTTATATATCTAGCCAACTTGTCTCTCATGTTAAACTAGGGTGAAGCGGATGTTCAGTGTATAGCGGATAGCCCTAAACATCACACTGTTGCAACAGTCCGCATGTTCAATTTATCAGGGGAGAGTATGATTCATAATGTGCCTCTCCCTGCTGATCATGTGAGGGTGCAGTTGAACACTGCTATTGATGTGAATTATGCCCTCCCGATGCCCACCCCAGATGCAGAGACAGTGGCTCAAGCAGTAGGTAGCTTTGTCGCTTGGCCTGGCCGTCTTCTTACATTAGGACATCCTTCAAAGGTATATATGTCTAGGTCTACACATTCAGCTGATTTAAAATAAACTCTATTTTAATTACTAAAAGTCTGTTTGTCAGTCTAAGGGGAAGAAGAGCCTATTGGGTGATCACTTATTATCATCACCACAGAAACAGCCCTCTAAGCCCATTCAAGCGGTATCATCAAGATTCCAAATATGTCTTGAGGAATATGCAGTTGGGGCCAGATTAGAACATGGCAAGGATTTTATGATTCCCCTAAAGTTTGAGCTAGAGGTCTACGGTTGACCCTCGTCAGAGTACGTCACGAATGAAGTATTGAAAGAAATTCTTACGCATGGAATGGCTAGCACAAATGCCTGTAACTTTTATATCAGGTATTTGTTAAAACCTTAACTAAATACTTAAGTACTTGAGCATTTATCCTATTGATATCTTTGTTTGTTGATTTAGATATCTTCTCAAGAACTTTATAGCCCCCAGTGGCCTTGATGACAAGCTCAAGATTATTAGCCCCCATACTTTTGCTAGCCATAGACCTGATATGAAGAAAGACTTATCTAGAGACTTGTTGGATATCTTCATTTCTAGGGCAGTACCGGGGGCTCAGACTTTGTTTTTGGTGCCTTACTGTCAAGGGTACGTATGTAGTATACTGAACTTTCCTAAATTCTTTCATTTTCAAAATAATTTTTTATTGTTCTAATTGTCTTTCTTATACTTAGGGGACATTGGATGCTGATTGTGGTTAATCCCACAAAGCCAAGGATTGGTATCATGATTCTCTTCATGGGGATCCAACCAATAGACCATTTATGGTTTTATTGTTCAACAAGTAACATTTATTCTATTATTTAAATTTAATTTAATTTCTTGCTTCAATCTAATTTTTGACAATCATTAATATTCAATTTTATTGTCTTTTCAGGACTTTGTGGCTATATCGTACAAATCAAGCCTTACCCTGCCCCTTGGTAAAAAACGGCCAATTTGATGATACCTTCCTGTGGAAGAAAGTGAAGGTATTTATTACCATTATTTACTATTCTGCTAAATATGGTTTATTTATATGATTGACTAATATTATTTCCTTTTCCATTCTTTATAGTGCCCACGTCATCCCAAAAAAAGCTCCTATTGTGGATATTGCGTGATGAAATTTATGAAGAAGATAATTATGCACAATGCCGATACAATCCCTACACAGGTAATATGCATTTGTTAAAGTTCAATTTATATATTTGAGAATTGTACTTATTGTAGCTTTACATTTATATCTAACTTATGTCATAATTTGTGGTTGCATACAGTACTTTACCAACACATATTGCACAGTGTATTCATCCGCTCAGATGGAGGAAATCGTTGAAAAGTTGGCGATGGCCTTATTCTGTCAGTGGGCACAAAATAGATAGGGAAGTGTACATTAAGACATTGCATGTACAACTTTGGTTTCAATTTTGGTTTTGGTTCATTTTTGGTAGTTGGTTAGTTTTTGGCATTGCACAACTTTGGCAATTGGCTAATTTTGGAATTGGTTCACCTTTTGTACTTGTCCAAAATTTTTGGGAGAATTACGTTCAAGTCCCACACAAGAGAAATAATCACTACAAAGTCCCAAGTAACAACCTGAGCAGTCTGAAATAACAAGTCTTACAGTGAGAATGACAACATCTGGGACTTGTTTTTTAATTACTTGGGACCTCATTGTAATTCTCCCAAAATTTTTATATTACTTACCTTAAACACAAGTTTTTTTAATATCACAGCTGGTTTTGGTTCATGTGTATATAATAATGTAAAATATTTTTGGTTCATTAAGATGTATATGGCTGAATTGGTTTGAATGCCAGCCTGCGTGGTTCTGTTGAATGCGCCTTTGTTCGGTTTCAAAATTGCAAGGGGGCTGCTGGCACAGCAGAACGCGTATAAAAAAAAATCCCATATGGAACCGTCAAGTATTAAAGTATACTTGACAGTTTTTCAGAAATAACCGTCAAGTGTTTTGTTCCCAAAATCCTCAAAGCATTGATACTTGTAATTGATGGTTTCTAATTAAAATCCTCAATTTTTGTTCCCAAATAATTGATGGTTTTTCAGAAACAACCGTCAAGTATTTAGACACATAGTTTACGGTTTTTCTGAAAAACCGTCAATTGTTTGAATAATAATTGACAGTTCTTTATTTAAAATCATGAAATATTATTGAAATATTTGACGATTAATAACCATCAAATATCTACGATTGAAATATATGACACCGGTATACTTGACGGTTTTCAACTGTCAAATATGACCCAAAATAACCAGCAAGTATTTGTCATTTTATAGTAGTGCTTCTTTAAACAAAAGCTTGTATGGTTTATTCGAATAAAGGATTCTTTAACTTAGTATTTTATTTGTTTACTTGGCCCATGATAATATTCAGATAAAAACTATTTTTATTCGCTACCTTATTCGAATAACAACAAAAAGTGTTTCTTAAATCCTCTCCTTTTTTTTTTGATACATTCTTTAAATCCTCTTTATTTGAGTTTTTGTTCAAATAGTCTGCCCAAGTTTATTCGAACATCACTTCAATTCAATAATAAAAAATTTGTTTTGGAACTTTCTTTGTCCAAGTAGATGTTGGAATAACCTGTCCAAGTTTACTCAAACAATACTTTGAGTATTCATAAAAAAATTTTGTATTTTGGTCCTTGTTCAAATAATTGCATCAAAACTACAAAGTGACAAAATGTTCTTATACAGTATCTTATTCGATCTTCAAGTCGTAGTTTATTCTGAATAAACCCACTAATTTTCTGAAGTCATCCCCTGTGTAATTTAACTCTAGCTACCTTGTACAAGTTACTTCTTACTACAAATTATGAATATATAATTTTAAAATATGTATTTTTTTAATTTCTAGAGTGACTAGGATTAGAAATTTTGTATATTTAAAGACCAAGTTGTACTCCATTATTTGGGAGACCGAAAGTTATGAATGAGAAATTTTTTGTGGCAAGTATTTACTTGTGTTTTTTTATATTTGTAATGGGTGCAATAATTTGATCAAATCCTCATAGATTTTATCGCTAAGGATCTAGATACAAATTCCTCTGAGGTTTTAGCTGACCAACTTTTATTATTTTCAAGTCTTTTTTTATTTTGTGTTTCTAGGGTTCTTAGAGGAATCTATATCAATCTGTGTCAGAGTCAGGTTAGCAGGTTAGCATGATGTCCACTAAAAAAGAGCAACTTGAGCATGTATTTCATTCAAGGCGTTGCATCAATAATAAAATTTGCAATATGATAATTGATGGTGGTATCTATGCTAATATTGCGAGTAGTTTGTTAGCACAGAAATTGAGTTTACCTACCATTGAGCATCCTACACCATACACCTTGCAAAGGGGGAATAAAGCCAGTGAATATAAGGTGAGTAGGTAAGTTCTTTTATCTTTCTCTATCGGCAAGTATGGTGATGAATTATTTTGGCATGTGGTGTCAATGCAGCGTTGTCATATTTTACTTGGTCACCTATGAAAATTTGATAAGAAGGCTAGATACAATGATTACAAGAAAATTCTTCTATCCTAAACAACCAAAAAGTTGGTTTATCTCCTTTTAGTTCCAAGCAAGCATGTCAAGATGAAATTAGAATTTCTAAAGATTGTGAAGTCAGAGAAAAATTGAGTAAAAAGGAAAAGATAGAAAAGAAAGATACAGGAGAGATTGACAGTATAGCTATTTCTCAAAATGAGAGTGAAAAAGAAAAAGAAAGTAAGATTGAGGAGCATATGATTGAGGATGATTTAAGTGGAGTAAAAATGAGAGCTCCAACCACCTTTCTTCTAGCATAGTTATTTCACCTGTTGTTCTTAAGCATCCCTTGAAGACTCTCAAGAGTCAAGGACGACTCTTTTTCAAGAGGGAGAGAATGACAAGAATACAAAGGGCAATTCTATCAAATATCTTGCATGACATTCAACTTTGTAGAAGCAAATGTGGAAGAAGACAAATAAAAGATCTTGCATAAGAGGGCTCCTAATTAATTCATGTTATTTTTATTTTTAATGTAATTTTATTCTTTAAAATAGTCATTTATGTATTTAGTAGATTATTAGAAAGATTTAATGTATAGGATATTGTTTTATATTTATGAGTTGTCAAATAGAGATCTTAAAAGTGTTGTTTAATATCTTGTTATTGTATCCTTAAAATTTAGATAGATAGCATATCTTTGGAATAGATTTATTTTTAATTTTTAGAGTAATTTAGGATTAGAAATTTTGTCTATTTAAAGACCAAGTTGTACTCTATTATTTGGGAGATTGAAAGTTATGAATGAGAGTTTTCTTTGGTAAGTATTTCCTTGTGTTTCTTATTTGTGATAGAATATGGTTAGGTTGCAAAAGTTTAATCAACTCTTTATGGAGCCTTTTTATAGCTTAGGATTTTCTCTAGGATTTAGCTAATTAACTATTATTATTTTCAAGTCTCTTTTTATTTTGTATTTCTTAGGTTCTCAAAGGAATACAAATTAAAGAGAGAGAGGGAGAGTGATAATAGTTTTTGGTACAAAGGAGTTGGGGTGAAATGTTTAAATAGAGTGAAAACGATGCCTTAGAACCAGCATTATGTCATTGTAAGTTGAAGATGGATAGTCACTTCCCATTGCCGCACAAACCTCTCCCATACCTTATCACTAATAAAATAGTATCGATCCCTAAGATGCTCTACTTTCTTTTTCCATAGAGATATTCCCTTGTAAGCGTGGATTTAAAATCTCTCCATCGTTCATTGAGTTGCTTTAATAGATAGTGTTTCATTTTCTCAGTTGCGGGAATATCAAATGTCAGCTGCAATACAATACAATAGAGTTATAAGTAAATAATGAATTATAATTGAAACAAATAGAGAAAAGAATTCATAACGTACCAAAATATCTTCCCAAATATTGTTCTTCAAATCTTAGTCTACCATTCTCCAAATAGGAATGCCAATCCCAATCTTACTGCGTGCTAGATAACCCACATAACTAGTAAACTAAGCTCCTTAAGGACTTATAGCTTTCAAATCATCATCAAACTCTACTATAATCATCGGGGGCTACGTGGTCTCATCATGTAAAGCCAAATACCTCATACGGGTTGGCCCTCTAGCCCTTTTCCTATTAGTAAAAGAGTTGTCATCACCAGAACCCTGTTAACCAGATTTGTCCATTTCTTGTTCAAAAAACAACCAATAAATGTAAGAATAAGAAACATCAAGTAAATTTAACATAAAACATCAAGTATATTTAACAAAAAAATCACATTATGAATAAATGATAAATATGAAATGAATTTAATAAGAAACATCAAATAATTTATTTAGGCCTTACAATAATTATCCTCCCAAATTCCTTCACAATGATAATCTTTATTAGCATAGTCATCATCTACCAAATCTAATTCAGCTATTTTAGGTCGAGTAGCTGTGAAAGATGGGGTTTCACCAAGATTGAACTCTGAGTCACTGTCATCTCTACCAACTCCTTGCCTCTTACCTTGGAGCATGATACTAGATCGGTACCATAAAATACTTGTTTTGCTAAAATAAATGGCTCATCTCCATATCCAACCCTCTCAAGATCAACTAAAATAAATCTAAATTCTTCATCTACTTACATAGCATTACTATTAACCCACTTATATTTGAAGACAGGAACTTTAAACTTGGCATAGCTAACCTCCCATATCTCTTCTATTACTTCATAATAGGACATTGACACCAACGTTGGGTTTCTATCCTTTGAACCAGCAAAATGCATAACTTCAGCTACTACCATCACCCTACTGTTCTGCATAGTACTCTTATAATCTTGGGTTTTTGTGTAAAATGAATAACCATTTATGTCATATCTGTCCCAACACATAACCTCAAAATGAAGCCCTGCAGCTAGCCGTTGTATTGTCTCAGAAAGATTGCCATCCTTTAACACTTTTTGCTTGAACTACTATGCAAATGACTTGTTATGCTCATTAGCTAGTTGTATGTCGTTCTTTCTTGGATTCAAGTTCTTCAACATATTCTTGTGAGCATCTAAGCAAGGCAAAACTTCATTCATGTTATTTAAAATATATAGATGTGCCTGCATTACAACTTCACGAGACATGAACTTCACTATGACACCTCGTGTTCCCTTTCTTCTCCCCTGATCATGTTGAGATTAAGAAAGTCTAACTGCCTTTACCCTATTAAGATATACGTTACAGAACCCAACCGCCTCCTCAACTACATATCTCTCAACAATTGATGTCTCAGGTCGATGAGGATTCTTGGAGTGCCTTTTTAGGATTTTCATGTATCTCTCAAATAGGTACATTTATCTTAAACACACAGGGCCACAAAGTCCTATCTCTCACACAAGGTGAGCTATCAAGTGGAC